TGGAATTGGGCGGCGATAGTTCGTATAAAAGCGATAAAATCCATTCTTCGGTAAGACGTACGAGAGACGACGCAACACATTCCATGGAGAAGAGAGCGGCCACTCACCTTTGGTTGCGGTCTCAGCTTCTGCCTGGACGAACGGCCTCATAGCAGCCACCATTCTCCACGATCATCCTCCTCTTCGTTATCATCCGCTCACACCGTTTTCTACATGTGTGCACATGCTTAGTCGGATGTACTCGCCCTTACCTAACAATGTTCTGTTGTTACTTTTCAGGTTAATAATCGCGTACCGTGATGTAATATGATGTTTATAATTTCTGTCAAACTTTCACTTTTAAATAAGAAATTTTCTATTTTTCAATAATTAAAACTGAAAGAAGTCATGAAACTGAAATATTTATATACTTTTGAACGTATCAATTGCGAATATCATTAAAAACATATTTTTCATTAGTTCTCTTTGAGAAATTATCTCAATATTTGTTAATTCTATCTATTTTTTTCATGAATAAAAATATATAATTAACATCAGTTTTAGCAATTTATTTTAATTAACTTATTTCATTACCATTCAATATTTAATCATATTTAAACGTATATATCTATGTATATTTATTATTATGAAATTATTATAAGCACAATTTATACAATGCATAATATATAATTTAGCATATATCTATGTATGAAATTGAATAATTATTTTAAAAACATCTACATTGTTTCTATAATCGATAATCGAATAAAAATTTCCACATCACGGTCGAATGCTAACGATAAGACAAGAATTCGAGAGAACGCCCACTACTGAAATGCCTACCTGCCTGAGAGTCGTTCTCTCGAGGTTATGAGTCACGAGGCCGTCGCACGCTTTGCTAAATATCTCGACATTTTGTCACGCGTTGGTTTCCCCTTAATCACGACACGTTCAACATGTTTTACGTTGTACACGTCTCGTTCCTTTTCTGCAACCAACGAATCGATTTGCACCAATCGACTGGTTGATGTTTATATTATTCTATTTTATGTTGATCGTAAATGCAATATAAATAAGATGTTCAAAAAGAAAAAATTAAGAAATATTACTATATATTTTTATATTTTATATAGTCAAAGATAAATTTCATAGTTGATTTTTTTACTATCATTTAAATGTAATAAAGTTAAGCATTTCTTCTATTCTGAGTAAACCTAAAGTACACGTCATCAATATCTAAGACTTTTAGTATATAAGTATATGTTAAACTCACCATAGTTCAAGTCACAATATTTGGATGATACCAAGAGTAATAGTCGCCCAAAGATAATCAACGTAATTCACCCGGTATTTTATTTCACTGTATTTCACACGTGCACACTTTTAATACGTATAAGTTTGTTAGATTACGACTTGCATTTTAATTCATATAAAGAATGATTATAGGTTCTTTATGAATTTATCCTTTAAGACTTATTTTCATAGATAAATTTCTCGAAATATTTAATATTATAGAAATCAAAAATTTTATATATTGTAATGCAACATTTAAATCAAAATTTATATTTTAAATTTACATAATTTATCAAAATATAAATATAAATTTCTTAATTAAAAAACAAAGAATAAATTTTGAATTAATTTAGAATTACTATATTTACAGTAATTCAAATTTAAAATAATTATTTATAATAATTCAAAAATATTAGGTTATGTGAGTGAAAAATATTTTAACCGTTTGGAATTATAACAGGACTCAAGAGAAATCATTTCCCAACTTATGGCACGGTATTATGTTTTAATTAATCAATTATGCAAATAATATTACGCGAATAATTATAATAAAATTCGATTTATATATATTTCTAGAAAATTTTCACATATAATGTTTCATTAGCAAAGCACAATAATCTTTCAAAATATAAAATTTTTATAGTGACATACACAATTTCACAATAAAAAAATTAAATTTATAATGTATAGATTCACAATCAAATAACGAAAAGACTCATCTATCGATCACTGCATTCATTTTAAAATTTCACTAATAGCACTTATATATCATCGTTGACACTATATAAAGATAGAGACAAATTATTTTCTATCGAAATCATGGAATTACAATACAATCCTTAAAGTTTTTCAGTCCCCGTACACTCTCATCCATTTTCAAAAAAATCAATCGATATTTTTTTTCGCGTAGAATTGTCATTTTTGAAATATTTAGTTTACTGATCATGATGCACAGAAAGAAGTTTCTCAAACTTCACACAAGACATGCGCGTCGTGATAAATTGCCAAAAGCGCCAATCACTGAATAGTTCACTAATAACATAATCCTTGACAATATTCGACATTTCAAATCATTGTATATAAAATCGTTGAATCGATTCACGATATGCCATGTGCAATTCAGTTGAGAAGAAAAAAGTATCTTTATGAAAAATCATTCCTAGTTAAACACGAATCGTTAAACACAAAAAAGAATTATTCGAAATTTTGTAGACAATTTTATTGAAGTCAACTTTTAAAGCAGAACAGTCGCAATGAACCGCACACGATCGTCGTGAAAGCGACACGATACTGGATGAGAACGGGCAACAGGTTCGTTGGGTTGCCCTGAGGAACGTGACGACGATACGAACAGGAGGGGAGGAGGATAGGTACTGGCCAGGTAAGCTAGTGCCGCCATTGCTCCTGACGCAGCATCCACCGATTTGCAGTGGCGTAAATACGCCGATATCCTACTGAAAAGAAAATTCTCTGTCGCTTGGGTTGTTTTACGCGATTTATATCGTTTCGCTTGCCTCTTACTCTATCTTGGTTCTCACAGGTATTCCTTTCAGATCTCATCTATAAACGTTTTCTGACAATATAACGCTCATATATTTTACGATATATGAAACGCAAACTAAAATAAGATTATAAAAAAAGATCATAAAATAGAGAAATTTGATATTAAATTTAAAAAACTTTGCTAGTAACAAAAGATATTCTTTATTTTTAAAATCCAAAAATATATGAATATTGAAAAATTAGAATTCGATAATGATTAATAATTAGCTGCTCGATTAATAGTATTCGAAAATTGTAAGACAGCTGACGCAACTATTAAGAATTTTATTTGATTCTTTTTATTTCTTTTGCATATGTCTAGGATTTTTTCCTGAATATTGAAGTGTAAATATATATATTTAATATTTTTTATTCATATTTTAATCAAATATGAATATATTTGATTAAAAAAATATAAAATATATATGTTCAAAAAAAACTATTTAAGTTGATAATTTATAAATATATAGTTAATTTTAAATTTAACCTTTTTAATCACTATCTTTTTATTTGTTAAAAGAATATTAAAATATTTAGTTTATGTTTTTGTTAATTATGTATAATAATTTACAATATGTACAATATGTATTTATGTACAATAATTTATATTGTATTTAATTATATAATATTATATTGTATATATAATTATAAATAAATATATGAACACAAAATAAAAATGAAAAATGAGTCATTAGAAAAGAAAATTTTATCAGAATATATATCTATTAAACACTAGACACAGACATAGATTACAAATTATATCCACAAAATTTTGATTACGCCATTGCAGCAACAGGTTGTCACCAATGAGAACCATCGTGAATGGGCGCGTTCATCCATTTGATAGCAATACGCCCTGCCACTATAAAGGAACAAGACTATCTTTTAAATCTAAATAAAAATTTTTATAAATTTTATTATGAATTAATATATTATATAACAAATATATGCAAAATTAATTACTAATTAAATAGACATACAAGTATTTAATTTTTTATTTATAAATTAATATAATAATTAATAATTATGTATATATATTATTATATGTATATATAATTATATAATATATATATATAATATATATACATATGATAATATAATAATTAATAATTATGTATATATATTATTATATGTATATATAATTATATAATATAT